TCTCTACGTGGACCTTTCTTGTGTGTGTGTGAACATCCAAGTGCTATATCATCAATGTCAAACTAGATGGGACCATGCACACATGCTCTAAACCAAAAGTTTCTGAATATGAGTTCAAACTCCATAGGCTTGCTTTTCAAAAATATCTCCACTAATGTAGATCAACACATGACCAAGGATCAATAGGACTTCATTAAGCTCATAATGTTAGGCTAGGGTGAAGGTAGGATATGAAGTAATAATTTGGCTCAAATCACCCTAAAACACATCAGCACTCTAAGACCACACAAATAATATCCTTAAGTAACACCCCGAAACTTTAGTTTTACTTTTCCTTGCCACCCATTTCTGTCTTTTTTTATTGAACTTCCTTGAAATGCCACAGTTACCTTTTTACGCGAATATCAACATTTGTGATGAAGTCACCTAGTTACTCAACAAGGTCGCAATTCAAGGTGCTTTTTTTCTTGCTCGGAGAAGAAATGTGGAATTTGAAGTTGGAGACAAAGTTTTCTTAAAGATTTCACCAATGAAGGGAGTGAAAAGATTTGGTAAGAAGAGAAACCTGAGTCCTAGATACGTCGGTCCTTATGATGTTGTGGAAAGGATCGGGATGGTAGCATACAGATTGGCTTTACCATCATCACTTGGTAAGGTACATGATGTCTTCCATGTGTCCTTGTTGAGAAAGTATGTACTAAGTTGTTCACATGTATTAAAATAAGAAAATATAGAACTTAATGAGGACCTGATTTATGAGGAACAACCAGTGCAAATCTTGGACAGAAAGGAAAGGGAATTAAGAAATAAAAAGATATTATTAGTCAGGGTTCTATGGAAAAGCCATTCAGTAGAGGAAGCAACATGGGAACTAGAAGATGAAATGAGATCAAAGTATCCGAGTTTATTTGGTAAGAGAAATTTCAAGGACAAAATTTTTATAAGGAGGGGAGAGTTGTGATGCCTAAAATTCTCACATACTAGTTGGCCAATGCATTGCATCCATTCATGGCATAATATACATGGTTTATAAGTTTGGCATGCTATTGAGATGCATTGTTATGTTATTAGTGTATATTAAGTAGTTGTTGAGCATAATGTTTTGATGAAATGACAGGCTTGCTCGAAGGTGGATCCAATAGGTGGAATAGTGGAAAAGAGGTTTATAATAGTGGTTTTTATGAATTACAAAGAGTTTAATTGGTAATGAAGTTCAAAAAAAAAAAAGAAAGGGTTAAGCATGGATTTTGTTCATTAGTTAGACCCACATGTGGTATAAAATTCCTTACAATAAGAACAAAAAAGTATGAAACCAATTACAAGAGGTTGCCGTGAAATTTCACATGAACTATTGAACTAGAACACACTAGAAAACCCTATTTTGTTCGAAATTTAGTGCTCGGGTTTTTGAGTCTTGATTGAGGCTTTTGTTGGCTTGTAAGTGACTTAAGAAAATTTATTATCTCATGCTTGAATATGTTAGGAAGGATTTTACAAATATTGGTTAAGTTTCAAAGATGAATGGACAGGAACAAAAGTGGATCATTTTAGTCATACCGGGTTTTTCATATGAGCAAGTAGACCTAAGTTGGTATGTCAATTGAGTGGTTACAACCTACTATGTAAATGGGATTTGGTGTGAGTGTGTAATGCCCTATTAAGAAGGTGACCAAGTAGATATAAGGGACACATGACCAGCCAAGGTGATATTCCTTCATGATGACTAAGTTGCCTCTTTGGTTGCTTAAGGGGTATAAGCTACTAGATCATTCTACACTACACTTATTCATCTTGCTCGACCCCTCTTTGACAAAAACCCCCTTCTCAAGCTGTTAACTTAAGAAAATAAGAATTTCCTTAGTGGTTTGTCAAGTTTTGGACGCCAAATTTCAAGAAAAACCAAACTTAGTCAAGGTAAGGGCCTGTTTTGGTGTGGAAGATGTTTGGTGTTGGTTCAGTGGGTTTTGTTTGAATTTTTACTGAGATATTGCAACACATGATCTTTGATATGTCAGGAACAACCACATAAAAGGATTTAATCAAATTCAATTGGGAGGTGCTAGTTTCAAGTTTGTTTTGGTTGCAGCCCTGAAACAGGTTGGTTCTACAAGTGGCTCGGATTTTTGTTTATTTCTCTAGGCTAGAGAGCTCCGTTTGAGCTGAAATTTTGAGGGAATATTTTCTTAGGTGTTATCGAATAGACCGTAAAATATCTCATCAAAATACTGTGCAATTTGGGTGTTATGACCTTTTTACCAAACATGGTTTAGTGTGTCCGATGATATTGTGATTATGAGCATATTTTATTTTATTTTGGGATATTAAATTCAAAACAGGTGACTTTTGGCTTTGAAAAGTGTTAGAAATAAGGGGAAATGCTATCAAAATTTTTAGAAAATTTGTGGGATCAAGAAGGACCCAAATTTGGGGCTAAAACCATAGCCCATACCACGACCACTGGACACGCCAAGCACGCCCTGGCCTACATGCAGGCAGGCCTGCCTGCAGTCCATGCTATGCGCAGGTGACCTTGCTGCGTGCCCAGCATGCCCAGGCATGGGCTGCAGCCTGCGTGCCTGGCTACTTGGCCAACAATGCCAAATAAGCCATTTTTAGCACTTTTTAGCCATTTTTTAAAGATATTAAAGTATATTTCAAATGTATATATGATCAAATTATTATTATTACTCAAAAATTTAAATTTAGAATATTATTATCAGTAATTAAAAAAATGATGATAAATATTTCAGTGATACGGAGTGTCAGAACCCCTGAGAGCAGTACCTAAAAGACTATTTTAGTGTTAAAATTTAAGATAAGTAGAATTTTGTCTGTATCACCATAAAAGTTGTGCATATGATAATTGTTTCAATGAATGTCATAATTGAATATATTAATTGCACACAACCGTGACATAAGCATACATGCACGACATGATGAAAAATATATATATCCAAGACATTAATGAAAAGTGGGTGAGTATGAAGATAACTTAAATGTCCTTATGGTTATAAGTGACGGGCCTAATGAAATGAAATAACGAATATGTCTCAATGGAGACATCCAGACCTACATGTCTCGAAGGAGACTGTCTCGATGGAGACTTGCGGTGTGGGATGCTTCCTTGATGATCACAAGGAAGATGAGAAGATTGATATTGTGAATTGGCCCACATGACGGCATTTGGTATATACATATATATATATATATATTCCTTTATGGTTACAAGGTTCGATGAGGTGTATGGGACACCACTCGTCTACGAAACCCTAAAAATGAACACATAATAAAAGTGTGAAGGAAAGTGAATTGAATAACATTAAATGAAAATTTCAAGACCTGAGCTCATGCATATTACTATTATTATATTGTTATGCATTGTTCTACTTACTAGGTTGTAGCTCATTTATTTTATGGTGATGCAGATGAGGGCACTTCCTAGCATTAGCTGAGGGTTAGACGGTTGGCTGGCGCACTCCTAAGAACCAAGATTGATGTATATGGACTAGCTGACCTGTATTTGGAGGCCTTTGATATATGTATAGTTTTTGAGAAGTAGTGTGGTTGTGTTATTACTTGGCTGTGCCTATTTTGAGATATGTATTATATTGTATATATATTTTACCAACCAATCGAACCCGATGAGACATGTTAAAAATGGTATTGCGCTTTAAGTGATTTCAAAAAGTCTAAATTTATCTATATTTTAATACCTAAGTTATGTAACTTACTAAAAATCAACATAAGGGAAAAAGATTAGAAGTAATACTACATAATATGACTATGAAATTAACTTAAAGTCGTATAAGGCGGGTGTTACAACATGGACGTCTTCAAAACTTGTCAAATATTTTGAGTCAAATTTTATAATTAATGATGACAAACTAGACATCTTACAGTGATGGAAGAGCAAGCAAGATCATTTTCCACCATTATCAATTATAGTATGTGACATTTTGACAACTCCAATGTCTACAGTAGCATCAAAGCAAGCATTTACTGCAAGCAGTCGAATTCTTGACAATAAGAGCAGTAGAATGAACCCGGATATCTTAAAAGACTAGGAAGATGTAAGAAGATGAAAACAACATTATACAGATGATACACTTCTAGACTATTTTTCAAACTTAGACATAACAGAATCTTCTGGAAGCAATTCGGCCACAGTGTAATTTAATTATCCTTGTATACTGCACTCTTTTTTCCTTCGCTAAGGTTTTGTACTGATCTCCTTACAGGTTTTACTTGGCAAGGTTTTTAACGAGGCAGTTATTTATTCATATTATTTCAGTTCAATAAAATCACATATTTTAGGTGCATATGATATACTTCCTTTTTTCATTAAATATGATAACAAATGTGAATCCAGTGCAATCCGGTCGACCGGTGCATGCTTAACGGCCATAAATTGGACCGTTGAGCTTCACCAGCTTGAAAAGGGCCAGGGCTGGCCCGTGAAAGGCCTAGGCCAAGGCCCAACCTCGAACCCGGGCCCGGCCCTTACGAACAAGGACCGGGGCCAGGGCTGGGGCTGAAGGTCTTCCCTCAGGCCCGACCCAGGCCCAACCCTGTAAAAACTTTCAGGCCCAGCCCTGTACTGTACCGAGCCAGACATGGCTCGGCCCAGGCCTGTGGCGGGTCGGTACGGCGCTTTTGACACCTCTATGGCAAAGTAGAGACACCCCAAAATTTAAGGGACAAAACGGCGGTGATCCCAAAGTTTAGGGGGTATGGGTGTGCGCACCCATGTTACTTTTCTGCTTCATTGTGACAGAAAATGAAACAAAATGAGCAAAATTGAGAAAAACACAAAGTTCGTGACATTATAACGAGACTTTTTAAAGTTTAGGAATAAAGTAGAGACGATCTTTAAGTTTGGGGGCATGTTAGTAAGAAAAAAAAAAAAAAAAAAAAAAAAACACTTTTATCGCGAAAGAAAAGGGCAAGAGTTCCTGTCAACAGTCAAATAAGTATCTTATAAGCAGTTGAGGAGTCTCACCAGTACCACACGAACGAACATACATCACGTTCCATTAGATATAAGAAAAGAGAAGTTCTTATGGCTGAGCTTGTGAGAAAGTTCCTCGGCCTAAAACTAAAATCCAACCACCACCACCACCACCATCATCATCATCAATGGCTACTCTCAAACTCATCTCTCTTTCTCTCTGCCCCTCTTTTAAACGCCATTTTCGCGACACCAACATTAATCCAACCCCAGTTTCCTCCATTAGTCCTCCACTGCAAAACACTCGCTCCGATTCGAACCCAATAAATTTGAAGTCCTTTTCCATTTCTTATCGATTCTCGGCTTCCGAAGACGAGGCTGAGAATTGCAGCTTCGACGAGGCAGTGGAGCTTTTCAACAGGAGGGAGTATTACAAGTGCCATGACTTGCTCGAAGCGCTCTGGAATAAAGCCGAAGAGCCTTCTAGAACTCTCATTCATGGGATTCTCCAGTGTGCTGTCGGATTCCATCACCTTTTCAACCGGGTTTCTTCATTGCGATTCCCTTTTTAATTTTAAATTTAGAATTAAGGAATATGAATTAGCACAATTCAATCTTCTAAAATGTAAAATGTTTTAGACTTGAGTGTTCACTTATTTAATTCCTATTAAGAGTAGATAAGGAGGGGATTTTTTTCTCTGTTCCAACTGAAAGGTTCTTGAAGATTGAGTTTGATATTAGTATTATTATGTTTGGGCTTTTCTCCGGTCCTTCTAGTGGGAGGTCCTTGATAGATATGAAAAACGTAACATAGCAGTTATTAAACGTAACATTTGTATTGCAAAGCATCCAAAAACTATGTTATATACCTCTACAATATCAATGTTACGTTCAATCATCAATGATTAGGGGCCGTTTGGTTTACGCGTTTAAATTAGTAATTCTTATTCATTGACGGAAACTTTGTCAGAGAAAATTTTTGAATTCAAATTCTTTGTGAGATAAAAAATACTGTAACATAATCAAAATTATGGATTAAGAATATTAACCAAACAGGGCCTAAGATTTGGGTTTTGATTTGTTGTTGGATAGAATCATAGAGGAGCAATGATGGAGCTGGGTGAAGGGGTGTGCAAGCTAAGAAAGATGGACTTCAAGAGCGGACCTTTTCATCAGTTTGAGCGAGACATCTCTGCAGCTCTTGATTTTATTTACCAAACTCAGATTGAATTAGCTGCTTGTGAGTTTTTTTCCTTTTTAGTTTTTTTTATGGCCTTGTTATTTCGTTGCTTCGTGTTTACAGGAATTATTAGAATATCCTGATGAGCAAGTGAATAACGGTTGCTTATATTTCCAGTCACCTACTTTTCCCTATGTCATTGAAGAGTTCCCACTTCACAAATTCATAATTCACAACGTGTTTTGGAAGGATTAAAAGGTTTTATGTCTAGGATATGGTGAAGAAAAAATAGCATTTTAGTCTAAATTAATACTAAGTTAACAACAAGAGAACTATTTAAAAACTTTCCAACAAAAACTAAAAGAAAAACGTTAGTAAGGCGCCAATGTTTGCATCAGGAGAGTAAGTTGCTAATATTTTTGGTCTGGAGTTGGTGGTTATCATGCTACTTGGTAAAAGAGCTCCATGTTTATCTCAAAAGGTTTAACACTAAGGCAGCACGTAATAAAAGTAAACAAGTTAAGAAAACTCCAATAAAAAAAAAAAGATTTATACCAGTCAATTGAGATTTTTATCTCAGAACTTACTGCGACTTTATCTTATCTTTTCGTTCAAGTGTGAATATGAAATTGTCGATTAAACAGTTTTTTTTTCCCCTGGATTTTAACAGGTGGTGATGATCTGTGTGTTGCAATGGATCAATCAGAGAGATCATACCTACTTCTCGGGGGTTATGCTGCGGGGCAGCATCTATATAAGCTGCAAAGTGACTCTGATGATCAAACAATGTACATTGTGTTTAGCCCTGATGGTTCTTATGCCAATGGTGAGCCACCAAGGGTAAAGCTACCCATCCTCAATGCAACGACAGAATTACTCGAGGCCTGTGACTACTATTGACTTCATGTTTGGATTCTTCAACCTGTATTTAGTACTTTGGGTCCAGTTCAGGAGTCATATTACCATACCGATACCAGGGTACCAGTTTCCTTTCTGCTGTTGAGTCATAGCACTACTTTGATCCGAGGGTGAAAGCATTAATCAAACAGGTACTGGCTCTGTAATATCCTAAAATTTCTCCTAGTTCGAACGGTTAGCTTTTATGTATAGTGAAAATACCATTCGGAGGATGTCAACTTGTTGTAGTAATGACACCTATACATGTATATCAAAATCTAACGTTACTATTGTGTTCCATTTTAGGGAATTTATTTATGACTATTATGATTGTTAGAGAAAAACAAAAATGTCGTAAAAAATTGCATTGTTTTTGAAGGATGAACGTAATTAAAATGAGTGCAGACTTTAAAATTTTGAAAATTCACTCTTTAAATGCAGTTAGGGACACTCACATACATTTCTTATCCAGTCAAATTGAGAATCCTTGGTGAACTTAAAAATAAAGTCAGAAGTCGAGTCCGATACAGATGTGAAATCATATTGTTATTGTCATTATTTACTTTTTCGCAAGCAGGCATAACAATTCTCTTTTGTCACTCCTTGATAAACTAACCGTAACGAGTTACCTTCTATAGGTCTATTCAGAATAATACTTGTTGACAATGTTCACTAAACAAGGTCCTTTTGCACAATAGGATAACCTGACCCTAACTCTGCATCAAACCTGCAGAGACATTGGAGCGTGAGTTCAGACTCCTTAGAATCGCGATATAGTACCATCTTCCTGAAATTCTTTCCCCTATTTTCGAATCCAAAACTACCTGACCTCTCATGTGTTACTACAATAGTTTTGATTATGTTATACATGTTTCAGGAAAAGTGCATGTTTTGGTAGGTTTCAAAGAGAAAATTGAGTGAACGAGCTGGAGTTTAAATGCCGTTCTAGCCCAAGTGCATTGGCTCATGCTTCACTCTTGAGCTAAAATAGTATGATTAATTTTCTGATGCAAAATGACAGATTGTCTTTTAATTGGTAGGTTGTAAGATTGTCTTTTCAATTGGTGGGTTCTAACTTGGTAGGTTTTGTTGTATATAATCCCTATTTTGCAATAATAGTTCTTGTTTCTTCTCAAAAAATTTATAAAAAAGAAAAAAGTAGGTTCTAACTTCAGATTATTTCTTCATTTTTCGTGGAGTTTATGAGTTTTTCTGCTTAACACAGTGTAGTTAGTTTGTGAGTAATGTACTGTTTCTTGAGCTCAGCTGAAATGTTTAATTCCTTATGGATCACAACTTTGTGGTGGGATGTTTCTTTTAGCTATTTTGATAGATTTTTCACCTCTTTTTTTCTTTTTTCTTTTATTTTTTTGGAAAGAAACTCGATATGTTTTCCTTTCTTTTTTATTTTGAAAGAAAATATACAGAAGAAGACAGACTCAAGATCAAAGCGTACAGATCTAAAAACTGCTTTTTTTAAATAAAAAAATTGCATTAACTTGAACTGTGAATTGAGCATACAAAAGGGAATCACCCAATCAAGTGTATTAAAAAAATGGAAACATCGTATAAAGACATCAAAATTTTGGAGTGAGTAACGAATTTCTTCCCAATTAGCAAGAGAACAAAAACTTAAAACAAATGGAGAAAAAATACTTGTGACTCTGCAATCTGCAACTCTTAATATGTTAATTCAAGTTTATCGCCGACATGCAACTACATCAGCTTTCGTTAAGATCCTGAAAACCATGTTTTGAAGGCTATTGAGGCATCTGCATCCTTCAGTTAGCTGGAGCAAATCCTGATAAAGGGTAATCAACAGATCTTTAGTAATGTCCTAATTCTACAGTCTATCTTAATCCTGATAAAAAATAAAAAATAAAAAAAAAGGTAAAACATATTTATCATATTGAACATGGAAATATTCTGATGCTACAGATACTATATTTTTAAAAGAAAAAAGAAAAAATCAGAGACTAACCTTGGAACCACCTTGATTCCCACCATCTAAACTGTATCTGAGTATCTATTATTGTCCTCTTCAGCCCTCGGCTTAAAATAACGGAAGTAGAAAAATTGGAGCAATATCTAAAAGGAGAATTAAGGCAACAGCTAAGAAAAAAAGCCAGCAAAACTGGTTTAACAACCAAGATTTATGATATCTAAATCAATTTATAAAAATGTAGTTTAACTGAAACTAAATATTGACATTATGAAGGTCAACAAGGATACAAAAAAATCGAGCAGCACGCATCCTCCAGCATCCACTAACCATGGCAAATTCGGTCGGATTACGGACCAATCCATGCTGTTCACAAGTATGCTGCACAATACAAGAATGTTACAACTAAAATATTACTTGTCAATAAACCTTAATGAAAACAATAAAGGTTTATGTCATATTTACCTTGCCACATAAGTGGAATTCCCAACCACAGCAAAGAAAAACATAAAAGGATTAAGCCCCTGCGTATCATAGAAGAAAAATTGTTAAAACTCTTTTGCACGCCATGACAAATATATGGTCTTACTTCATACAATCTTGTTAAGAAAGAAATAGAACTTTCTTCCGTAATTTGTGAATTGTTTTAGAGAACGATACGGTTTCGGACTTTGAAAAGCTTACCTCAACATTTCCCTTTCTCATCTGCAAAGATCGGTTAAACATAAGAAGTCATTATTGTTCTGACAATTTAAAAAAAAAAAAAAAAAAAAAAAGAAGCTAAAAATTGCTGAAGTTCTCAAATATGCGATGATACTACTATGCAAAGGAGATAAGAAAGCATTACAAGGGAGAACAAGAAGGTCTCAAAATACTACCAAAAGAAATGAAATATCAGATACTTTCATGCAGCAGTCAACCCTCAAAGAATCATATATATATATATATAGGAAAAAAAAATAAAAATGTTCTCATACAACACGAAAACAACATGTAGAAAGGACTAATCTATGCTACTTGGAAAGATAAAGATAAATCTCACATTTAAGAATATTTGTGGAAGCCGTCCACCCATGTAAATAGCTGCCATTCCCCAACCAAGAAAAGTTGCAATTCCAGTGCCTTCTCCGACACCATGCTCTTGTAAAAGCCCACCATTTGCCTGAAAATATTAGTAGCAATCATGAAATACATTATTTCTTTATTTTCAGTTATGTCCCTATAGAAAAAAATTCTTCAGGAATTCCTTTGAACCAAGCACAGAAGAAAAATGATATGATGTAGAGCGATAGGTGGAACGCATGACAATATTAAGATTATTTTGCATGATTTAAATAAATAAATAAACTTCAACAACCTGCAACAGCCTTCTTCCTACTCGGATCACAAAACCAGGGTTTCGCTTTTCGTTAAGTGCTGAAAAGTGGACATTCAGCGCACCAAGGAAGGTCATTGCTGAGACCTGAAATACAAAAAAAAAAAATAATAAAAAAATAAAATAAAATGAAGCTCGTGTCCATCCACAATAAACATACTGACAGAATCAGCTAGATAAAAAGCTCACCACAGAGAGCATGGGCTTGACACGTGAAGCAGATTTGGGTTCTGCTGATTCTTGTGGAGCAAGTAAGGGATCTTGAAGCGAAGACCGAGTCTGAGAAGATGTGGAAGAAGCCAATCTTTGTGCTAGATAAGATCCCAGAGGTGGAGTACTACTTTTGAATAGAGATCTTGCTGACCTGAAGAATGATTAAAAAAGAAAAAAGAGAAAAAAAAAAGTTAGTTACTCTTTCATCCAACAACATTCTGTTTTGGATCAAATTATAATTTTTACAGTTCTATAAGTGGTTCAAAATAACTCTGCAACATCTAAATTGGACTTTTCCATCAGATATATTTTATATCTTAACATTATGCTGCAAAAGATGAGAGCTTTAAGGGACAGAATCATACACGTAGTACAAGTCTCTTCCGGAGGATGTATTTGAAGCATAATCAGTTAGCCGAGGAGGTGCATTCAAGACATCTGATGTGATGACTGTATCATTTTTATTACTGATGTCACTATAATAATCCTGTATCACATCAACGCCACTTCTGCTTTGCCTCGGTTTCACGTCTACCCCAGTCTGGTTAAACCTTGGATCCTGCATCGAGTACAGAAGATCCTTAACAGAAAAGAAGTTCATCAACAAACATCAATTAAATGTTTAAACTCTTCCAACTTTTTAGCCACTTCCATTTCTCAGCATTGATATTGGTTCTCTCTCTTACCAACTTCACATCCCAACATAACCCAATTTCTTCTTTTAACAACACTACTATGTTACAAAAGTAAATCCAGATTCGAACTTTCGTTCGATAAGCAGGATACTTTAGAACCCATATTCCATATTTTATTAGTCCTTTTACTTGAGAATAGTTTCTCTAATCTTTGTTAGACTAAAATCGTGATCCTAACATTCATAAGAGTAATACTTCCTAAAGCATTTGCACGAAGAGGTAAATTGTCAAAAATTTGTACCTTTTGCTGTTGTTTACTTCGTTTCATCCGCGGATAGATGTAATCATAGTACATGGCTTGTAGAACAAGAGCCATGCTAGTTAAAGTATACAACTGCAGACCAAAGGGGGAAAAAGAAAAAGGAATGAATGAACAAACTAATTAGCACGTAATATTTTATAAATTTAGAATGCAACTTTTGGGTTCTGTTGAAATTCTTACCACTGCCATATAGAATTGTGTTGGAAGCTGCATGAGCAAGAAGAAAAAACGAATTACAGTTAATTATTTGCAAATATTTTTCTAAGATAAAAAATAACAAAGAAGAAAAAAATTATTTGTCCCTCTTTTCTTTGAGAACCATCATATTTCCTTGATTACGTTTCCACAAAATGTATGTGTTGTTTGTTTTTTTGTTTTGTTTGTCTTGTTGGATTTTTTTTTTTTTTCCTCAAGTTCTTAAGGTTCTAACCCAAAATACTGTTCACAAAACTAACTTAAAGGTTCTCACCAACTATTTTCACTAACATTTTCTTACAAATCCATAATTCTATTTATGTAACCAAATGTTAATTCAAACTTCATTTCTTATTTAGACTTTACACTATCAAACACCAGTCTAAACTATAAAAAAACTCAAATATAAGTTCAAACCCAAAGGTTTAAACCCACCAATTTAGACCTGCGAAGCAAACAGGGCCTACACTTTTACAGGATTTTAAGTTCTACCACTTTAGGATAATAATAGATTTTCCAGATACAGGAGAACAACTTACCGTAGCTGGTTCCATTATACAGCCAACAAGGTTAAAAATATCACTGCAAAAGATGAGAAACAAAATAAATTACAGGCGTAAATAAGTAACAAAGGCAATTTTAAAATTCGATCCTGAAGCATTAGTAAAGTATTAAGGAAAATACTATGACATGAAGTAACAGGAACAAGACAATAATCAAATTAATCAGCACCATCTCCCACGAAGAGTATTAGAAGACATTTATGTGAAATAGTGAATTGGAAAACTAAGGGTATAGAAGACATTTATGTGAAATAGTGAATTGGAAAACTAAGGGTATGTTCATTTTCGACACAAGTCATAACTCAAGTTATATTATTACGGTGTTTTTTCTCATAAAAATTTAAATTTAATTTTTTTGCTATAATATTTTTCTTTCACGTACATAATTCAAGTCATAACTCAAGTCATGTAAAAAAAGAAGCTCTAAAAATGCTTTTAAGTAGCATGCCAATCATTTTTATTTTTATTTTTATTTTTCTGTTTATTCTTTTTCCTTTGCATAACAAAAAGTTCTTTTACCATTGCTCCATCTAAATGAACAAAATCTTATTAGGCTACTCACACCTTCTTGATAAAGGAAATGGTATTTGCCAAACAACTTAGCAAGGCAAACACGTGTTCATATTTTATTAGTTTTAAGAGTAAGTGAAAAGAACAAAATAGCTTGTGAGGCCTCGTTCATTTCGCTGATTCGAGTTTAGAATTCGAGTTTTACTACAGGAAAAAGCTCTCACAAACAATCACATCTAACTTTTTTACTACAGTAAAAAGCTCTCACATAAAATCACATCTCAACTCGAATCAGCGAAGTGAACGGGCATGACTAGACCCCAAAAACATTTCAAATTCAAAATTGGCATGCAACAAATATGAGAATTATTTGGCACAAAATCGGAAATACCCTACCAATAATATACTATTTTGAATCGACATAATTTTATTAGGTTCTATCAATTTTAAATACTCTTACATACAATACCGACGGGGTACCCTAGAATGCTTCACAAATGTACTGAAGCAAAGAGGAAAAGAAAAAGAGGAGAGAGAGGGAAGAAATAAGTACCCAAGTATCCAAGTGGCCAAGAAAGCCATAGAGAGGCCCTGAGTGGATTTCTGCCTGTAGTTTGTGATGATTTGGGGTATCTCAGCAACAGTCCAAGTGACAACACTCACAACACCCAAACTCAAGGAAACTCCATCTTTTGCACTGCAAATGCAGTACTGCAAGTACTGAATTGCCCACTTTGCACAATGCCCACCTGTGGGGCACATTTGCATTGAACCACTTCTTCCCATGTCCTTCTCCAATCTCTCTGGATTCACTGCAAACGTTTGAGAAAGATACAAATAAATTCAAAGGGAATCTTCTTTTAATAATTATTAAATGTACTTTTTTTTGGGAAAATCTATATATATATATATATATATATATTTTTTTTTTTTTTTTTTTTCTATAATTGTTTTATACGAGAATAGGACTCGGAGAGTGAGACCTAATTGGAAAATGACATGTTAAGCAAAATCTAGTGAGTACTAACCTAAACAAATAAAATAGCATATCACTGTGCATTAATATATCAGGGAATAAATTAATACCTATTGCAGAGATTCAATGGAACCCTTTTTTTTTTTTAATTGTGACCATTAAAATAATAGTTCCCTTTTTAAGCCTTCTTTCTCTGCTTAGAAATTGAATTTTTTTTAAAAAAGTGAAGAAAAAAGAAGAACAACAACAACAATAAATGTATAACGAAAGTAAATATAATAAAATAAAATCAAAATTGCTCCTGCGACCTGGACCCACCAAACCAGAGAAATCAAGACAAACAATGCAGAGGAATGATTCAAAAAACGGAACACATTGTTTAGATTGCACAGCCGAACCCCATAATTTTAAAAGTGAGAGAAAAAGAATTTTCCCCTTTTTTTTCTGATATAAAGCTTACAAAGAAAAACTAAAAACACACAAAAAAAAAAAAAAAAAAAACAAATATATGGGAAAATATTAAACAGTTCCAAAAAAAAAAATATGACAAAAAAATTGTAAAATCGCAGCACCTCAAGAATCCCTTGAAACGAGAGAGAGAAAGAAAGCGAGCAAGCTACACTTTGTATTGTCTTATTAAACATTGTTGTCGTTTTTTTTTTTTTTTATGACGGCACTGTTTCCTTTTTGTTTTTTCTTTTTTTTAATGCACAAGTTAATAATACTATAAGTAAACAGAACAACGTAACGCCCGCTCAAACCTTACTTTTTCTCACCCCTCTACTTTACTCGCGGACTTTTATTCGCTTATTTATTTCCACCATTTTCTCATCTAATCCTCCTAACTCGATTTTTTTTTCTTCTTCTTTTAATATATATATATATAGGGGCATTCTCCCTTATCGATGAGGTAGGGTAGAAGAGAAACTTTGGGCCGCTCGACACGGTTCGTTATTTTGACTGAACTAGGTTAGTCCGGCTTAAAAGGAAGAATGGTTGACTTAGTAGTTCAGGTTGACTCAAAATTTATTGAGAAATCTTGATAAATATCCTTTAAAATGGTACTATTAAATATTTTTGAGTCTTAATATTAGTCTATTGAATTTTGCCTATTTAGAGTAAGTAATTTGACAAATTATTATTGATAATTTAACAGATATCACCGGCAACGGGCGTAATTTGACATATTACTGTCTAAAATTTAACAAATTATTATCTATAACTTGACAGATTATTATCAAAGGGGTAGCCTATCATTATCAAAATGATAAAACTCTAGAAAGATGTGTTTAAGGGTTAGTTTTTACAATTTTCTCAAATTTTTATAAGATGTTTTTTAAGAAAAAATTTAAAAATATGTGTGTTAGGTTTCAAGCTTGGAACCTCGGCCCAACCTAGCCTAAGACCGAACCAACAGTGTCGGGTCTCGGGACAGCGTTTGGCCCGGCCCAAACTTTCACTTATACTCTAAGGTTATCGTAATCGCATAAAGTTACTAGATCTACATTTGTAATAATTATTTGTCGTATTACTTTTATCACTTTACGTACATTAATTTTTTTCCGTTGTGTTAACAAAATTGCGAATAGCAATTTTATTATTTTCCTAAGTGTGTGACGGTGAAATTTCATCAACAGATTAATAACTAGGTTATGGTGGTTTATGTGCGGATCAAACGTGATTATAACGTGATTAAAGAGAATTAAGAGAATATCAACACAATAATTTATAGTGGTTCACCCTTGAAATTCAAAGGCTACATCCACTGTCAGAGAACTTCACTAAGTTCTGAGGAAAATATTACAATCAAATAGAAAGAGTCCAAAGAGCCCGTTTTGAGCTATTCCCCCCATATTTGTACATCATATTATCATAATTGTCAAACTTTTAATCACATTCTGAGCTTGCTTTACCAACTCTCAGAACAGTGACTTCTAATGACTGAGATTTTAGTTAGTTTGCCTAATTTTCCCCATCGGCTTCACCACTAACTCTACATACATTAAATGTCTATCAAATCTCTGAGCAGCTGTCACATCTTTACTGACGTGGATGGGGTCGGCGCTTGGCTGTCCTTTGAAGCAGTCTACGTCTTCAAATGATGATGCAATCAACTTCGTATTGCGATATACTCCTCAATATTGTTGTCCCTAGGGCTTTATTTCCATATTGTGATCGTTATCTACGGCCGGCGTCTATTGAATAGTGAGATTCTTTGTCCACAGTTGGTGCAGTCATTAATCATCTAATTATATCGCGTAGCGATAATCTAACGGACCATGTGGATCATGGGATTTTTCCCTATAACAGTAAGTGATACACTTATTGGGACCAATATATGTTGCAATTCTTGTCTCTCACGATGTTACTATTTATATGGTTCTAAATATTTCATTATGTAATAATTTTATTGATTTGCGTACTTTAATTGTTTTTCACGTTACTTTAACTAAATCACGCAATATCCTACTACTCTTTGTAATGAATCTATGACCCGTTTAGTTTGTTGATTCGAGTTGAGACTTGATTTTTATGTGAGAGTTTTTTACTGTAGTAAAAAAGTTATATAATTGAGTTATGACTTTATGTGAGAGTTTTTTACTATAGCAAAAAAGTTAGATGTGACTGTTTATAAGAGCTTTTTACTGTAATAAAATTTGAATTCTAAACTCGGATTAATGAATGAACAAGACCCTAATTTTGCATATTTCATGTTTCGATTATTACAGGGTTGTTCGGCAGCCCATTTTTTTAGTCAAAAACTCAAAAAAAAAAACAACTTGAGTTACAATTTTATTCAAGTTCATGTTCTTTTAAGTTTGAACTCGAGTATGGGACTAAAACTCGAGTTCAAGTTTTTCTTTCAACTCGAGTTCAAAAACTCAAAATCAAATTAATGAACAGTATTTTTTCTATTCTTAAAAATACTAGAACTTTTTCATTTTAATTCTGATTGAGATGATTTTTTTCTATGCGTTGACAACGAAAAGACGAATAAAACCCCACCCATATACTCTATTAAAATTTTCCATCAACATGTTTTTGTTAAAATACTATCTAAATACAAATTCAAGTTTTGACTCACTCAAACACAAATTCAAAAAGATTATCATCTTAAATTATAACTCAAATGGACAAAATCAAACACAAACTCAAATTACAACTTTAACTCAAATTATAACTCAAACTCAATTTAAAATTTACACTTAAATCATCTAACTAAAAAACGATAAAAGAACGCCCCTGTAATTTCGTAGAGTTACTGGACCAACATTTAAAATAATTATCGTCATATTGTTATGATTCGTAAACGACTAAATCGGGTGAGACAACGTAACCAAAAAAATAAAGTGAGGTAGGTGAGACAAGACATATATATATATATGTATATGTATATTAAAAAAAAAAAAAAAAAAAAAAAAACAGTGATTTAAACGTCAGGGACGGAGGGAGCTTAAGCCCAAAACGGGCTCGAGCCCCCCCCAACCCCCAACCCAAGTGGTCTCTTTTATCCCTTTCCCAAGTTTATAGTCCTATCCTAGTTCTTTGTTTTTCTTATTTAGCCCCTCCTAAATTTGTTTAATACTTTTAAAGTGCCCTTCAACCTAAGTAAATATTTTCTAAAATTTTGAATTTTCTCTTTACCTTTTCTTATTTTGCCCCTAATTTTTTTTATCATAATTTGGAATTTTATGTATAAATTTTTAAAAGTTTTCATTTGACTCCTGGTTTTTACATTTGATTATTACTCATTATTTAAATTTTTTTCTTGTATTTATTTTCATTTCAAATATAAAAACGCCAAACAAACAAAATATCATACACTACTACTTGATTTAGTTTAAAACTATGACATTTTTAGTATTTATTACACTATTCATGTAATTTAAAATTTTTATTTAAGTCAAGCCCTCTGTGAACAAAATTTTTAACTGCGTCACTGTTAAACGTGGTGTTATATTAAGATCAGACAACGATCTAATTTCTAAAGTTTGCCGAGAAAATGTCTTGCTCTGTGAGTGGAACCTCGAGAGTAATCTAATGCTCGACATAAGTGGAGAGAAAATAAAAGAGAATGCGTAAGAGAAAAAGTGAATTGTCTTGCTACTCGCGTTGTGATCAATGCATGTATTTATAATGATTAAGCAAATTGTTACTTGTGCAGTTATACTTGCTTTCTGTTTCACTATAAATTATAATTTTAGTTGAATTAGGATTATTTTCGACATTTCCTCAAATAAAAAAAGGAATTCTTTTCGACATAGAATTCGTTAAATTAATGACCAAACCTAAAACGAAAATATGATTAATTATAAAAATTTCTCGCGAATTATACCGCTTGTAACACTTTGTCTCTTAATTTTTAAAACGTAACATATGTTCCCCTAAAACAATGTAATGTTAACAAAAAGTCCTTTTGTTAAATTTTTAATCAAAAATTGACATTTAATTAGTTCTTTTGGGATATTTTAGTAACTCTATGGTTTGAAATTTAAGCTAAATATAAAACTAATTTAAATTTAGATTTTTAATTACAAAACATACATCATCAATTGAATGTAAATTAAAAATTTTATTGTCTTTTTTTTAGAATTAAAAATTTATGAAGTTGTTTTGAACGG